AGAGAGAGAGAGAGAGAGAGAGAGAGAGAGAGAGAGAGAAAGATGGAAGAGAGAAAGATGGAAGAGAAGACGATGAAGGAGTTGTAAAGGAGAAATCTCAAGTGAAAAAGGAAATAAGCTGTTTTATTTATATAAATAGTCAAGTAAAGTCTACATCAAGTAGTTCGTTAGTACCTTTAAGAATAATTATTTCTGCTCCACGGAACTCCCTCTCTCTCTCTCTCTCTCTACCTCTATAGCTTTCCCTCTCTCCTTTTCTTTTTTATAAGATTCCCTCCTTCTTCTTCTTTTATTCTCTCCCACTCTCTTTCACTCAATGAAATATGAAATCCAAAATAAAAAATAATAAAAAATGGTCAAAGCTAGCACCTGAGCGTGAAGGAAAAAGAAAATAAAAAGCAAAAGAAAGCAGGGAGCACAACCGATTCATGACGTAACTGATTGCTTAAATGAATTGCGGTTGTACAACTTAAGGTAATTCACGTAGGCGCAGGTGAAGGCTGACTTTGGACCATCAAGCGAGCAGCTGATAACAACAGAAGAAACTGACACGACAAGACCAGCATAAGAGATTTTGAAAATTTTTTGAAACTTTTATAGATTGACGAGTTGTTTGTTGACAGAGGTCTATGATTCTGGAGAATTAAGAATTCAGATTTAAGAATTTTTGATGCAACGATTGTTCTTCGAATGTCTGAACACACATACTGCCAGAAAGAGAGGGAGAGAAGCACACGCGCACAATCACATAGAGGGAGAGAGAAAGAGATATAGAGGGAGTTGGACGAAAACTCAATTTGTATTTACGAAATAAACTCGTCAACTTCAAAAAAATTTCTTTTAAAAGAAACACTTTAAAGCATTTTGTGACAAGTTTTATTCCAACTTATACAAAATATCTTTTGTTTTGAAAATGAAATCTCTTTCTATGGTAGTCTCTCTCTCTATGATTAAGTCTCTCTCTATATATACATATCTCTCTCTCTCTCTTTATAGAGATTATCGACACTCTTTCAGTTGAGTTCCCTCCCTTTTCTCTCTCTTTCTATAACATTTGGTACCCTCCTTAATTACTTTCCTTCTGGCATAGCTCTCCTTCAATCTCTCCTTCTTCGTCATCTTCTTCAGCCATCATCTCTCACTCTCTTTATCTATAAATATCCCTGTCTAACAATAGGAGACTCTTAGAAAAGGAATGACTTGGAAATATAAATAATAATTAAGATAATTCGTGATACGAGGAAGTATTTCTTTTTCATCGAATAACGAAAAGCTGTCGAGAGCTCATGGGACGATGAACGAAAGCGCATTTTGTACTTCGAAAGACTGAAATAAAAAAAATTTTTTTTCATTATCGAAACCGCCTTGCACATTCAAAATTATATTTTTCCAGAAAAATTTGCTTTTCTTTTGTAGAAATATAAAAAAAAATTTTTTCCAGATAGTCCGATCATCAGAAATCGGTCGCCGATGTGTTTGTGGTAGGAGGGGGGGGGCTGGTGTGTGTGTGTGTGTACGTCTTGGAACAACAGTCTCTTTTGATGTTTCATTTTGAAATAAAAAAGAAATTATTAACAACCCTTTCGAGGGTATAATATTAATACAAATTAACAGGAGAAAACAAGTATCGAGGGATATGTTGAGTAGCATGGTAGGGAAACGGGGAAAACGATGAAGCTGGGAATCATTCCGATTGTTTGAATACAAAACAAGTGACTCCATTCTTCTCCGTTTCACAATATACTTCAGTATTGACGATGTAAGAGAAAGTTCCTGTTGAGCAAATGGCGTCAACTCTGAAGAGAAACACAAAAATAATATTATCATTCTTCTTTTTTGCATTTTTTTTTGAAATATCAAATACTGCATTCGCACTCTTACCTTCCTCCTATCTCCTCAGCTGCTGCAGCTTGGATTTGTCGTTTAGCGGTCGAAGTGGACGCATGGATGTTCTGAGATAATCCTTTTTGAACTTTTACGATCTTTTTTTAATCAAAACCTTTAGAATGATGTCACGCAGAATCTCAGAGTTGCACTTTGGATCGAATGATGGCTCACCCTCATCACGTTTTACTCGTCCTTTGGCTGCTTCAGCTTCAGCAATTTGAATTTCTTGAGCTATCTTCAACAATCTCTTTGTCATATTCGGATGTCGTAGACTGGGGAAAATACAAATGTGAACATCATTCTCATCATATTCATCTTTGTTTTTCACTCCGGAAATGTTAACAAACCTGTCCGTCTAAAGGTTGTCCAGCATTTACATAATTCTGTTGAACAACAGGAGGGATAGCTTGAGCTTGAGCATAGACGGGCTGAACTTCATTTATATTGAGAGGAGGAAGCTGTGGTGTCTGTAAAGGTTCTCATAAAATTAGAAACATGAAAAACATTGATGAAAGATTACATCAGAACCTCCACAAGATGGAGCTGCTGGACAGACTGGAGGTGGAGGTGGTGGGGGACATGCTGGTGGAGCACCACATCCACATCCGGAGTTTCCAAAGAAGAAAGCCTTCACACCAATTAATTATTCAAATGCAAAACTCTATTATGGAGTTACCTGTGTGGGTGAGATAGCAAAAACTATAAAAATGAATAAATATTGAGACATTTTCGATCTTCTCGAGATTACTTGATCAGTTTTCAGCTTATAAAGCCATACGATTATCCGGTCCCACCTCCGCCCTTCACGGGTCAAAATACCGGTTCGACTACCTTTTCATCCAGAAAATCTCGTCTTCAATCGTATCTTATGTGAAAGAGAAAAGAAGAAATCTTATCTTTTCCATTTCAAACGAAACATTCTTCATTTGAAAAAGAAATTTTATAATAAATAATAGTTTTTTGGTGGCTGTCCTCGCCGTACACCACCCATGTCGTTGATCAGAATATGAAAACACATCCTATCCTCGCATCCTCTCCATCTCATCCCATCTTCCCTCCCATTCAACCCTGCTAACCCACCAAATGCACAACCGCTCTACACAATTATTTTTATTAAAAATGAAAATGGTTCATTAGCTTATGCGGCCGTTGTGGTAGAGATGCAAATTCTTAAGGAAAGATGAAGAAATTTATTGAAAATTTCATAAAACTGAAATGGAAAGCAATAAAATTCTTTTTGAAAACAAGAAAAAGCATAAAGAAAAGCAATTGTCAGGTCTTGTGGATGATGAATACCTGAGTAGATAGAGAGGAATAAAGAGAGAGAGAGAGAAAGAGAGAGGGAGAGATGAAGAGAGAGATAGTTAGAAGAAGAGAGAGAAGTCAAAGAGAGAGAGAGAGAAGTTCACTGGTTTGAAGAGGAAATGATACGAATTTGATAAAATATTGAAAAACTAAAGTTCTTTAAAAGCTTATTACATGGCAAAGTTTAATCATCGTTAAAGGGTTGTAGGGTATGCCATTGGGCAACTGATCGACGAGGAGTTGCAAGCATGTCTGACCATTGTTTCAAAGCTACTCCAGTGGCGTTTGCTCCAATAATTACCTTCAATTAGTTAAATTGAGATTATTGGGGGTAGGGGTTGAAGAGAGTTACCTGTCCGATTCTTTCATTTGATCCGACACGGTCATAATCAGAGACAGTCACATGTAAATGAACTCTCTGTAAATAGATAAGAAGGTTATAGTGAAAAAGAGAGAGAGAGAGAGTGGGGAGGGAGAGAGAAGAGGATTAGAAGAGAAGCATGGAAAGAAGGGTTGTTTACCTGCATTTTCTCTGGTGTGACATCAAAGCTGAACGATTCATTATAGTAAGGATTAAGGGTTTTCATCTTAATTGTTGTTTTTTTCTTTTCTAATCGCTTATTCTGCATCATCAAATAGATTTTAACATAAGGATCTAAATAACAATATGTTTGAGTGAATGTCGAGTCAGGACCATATTTCATTACCCGACAATCCAAGAACGTCCATTTTCTTCAAATTCTTACATTCCATAACAACGACCGATAATTTATTTTTATTTGGAACATAACGGAGTGCCAGACAAACTTCACCCAATCTATTTTCCTGAAATGAAAAAATATACGAAAATGATTTTCGTCTTCAGAAGATGGTTAACGAACGGGAGGGCTCTCAATCAAATCTGTTCGTTCAATAGTTGTAGCTAAATCAATTTTTCCTAATGGAACTGATATTTGGCCGATCTGAAACGAGAACACACACAATACAATCAGCAAATGCTTTTTATCCCAAATTTGGGAGAAACAAAAAAAAGGTTGAGAAAGGACATACCTGATCGTGTTTCCCGAAACGATCAAAATCAAAAACATTCATGACTAGTGTTTGACCTCCAATCTCATTAAAAGGAACCTAAATTAAGATTCGTTGGTTAGTTAGTCCAAAAATGGATTTGTGATGATAGATAGTGCATATCGAAGAGAGTGTGTAAGACACCATAGGACATTACCTTAAATGTAAAACTCTCATTGAAAACTGGATTCAACGATTTGCGTTGAACTTTTGTTTGAAATTTCTTCTTCTTATCAGGCAATAGGAAAAGCTTAACATAAGGATCGGATGTTCCTCCCAAATCCATAGCTGGTAGCTCTTCTGCTTGTACTATAACCACCGTTAACTATAAGATATAAAGTTCTGAGGCTTATAATGGATTGAATTTCTCAAGAAAACTTTTATATATCAAGTTGCTTCGTTTCCCATCGGGTTTAATGTTTCATTTGGTATTGAAACGAGTAAAGAGAATGGAGTGGAGGGTGAGGGGGGAAAAGGATTGAAGAAGAAGCTGCAACTTACGGAATTCTTATCGAAATCATAGTCAAGCTTATATTGCAATCGTCCAAGAAACTTTTTTTCTTTTTCATCCTCTTTCTTCTTTGTTATAGACATTCTATAATAGGCAACATACATACAACGTTAACATATACATTCACGTCTTTTAAACATAGAAAATAGAGACAAAAATGGAATTGTACAAGCTTCATTAGGCTTTATTGTAAGCTTTAAGCTGCAAAAGCTATCATTTGCTTTCACAATTTTATTGGCTTTTCTTTAGCTCCTTTTTTGGGTGTATACATGTGTGTGTGTGTGTGTGTGTGCTGCATGTGTTGCCAAAAGAAAATATTATAATCGGTGCCTGCACTGAATGAAGACCTCATTACATTGCACGTCAACTCACATGGAGATATACAAAGAGAGAAATAGAATGAGAAAGAGAGAGATGAAGAGCAAGCAACCGTTCAGTACGAAAAGTTAACAAGAAAATGAATCATTCATAGAATACGTCAGTTTCACGTGAGATTTCACGTGGCACTAGAAATCAATACACGTGGCCTTTAGCTTTACAAATACACAAATATATACGAACAAGAGTTGTTTTTATTTTTTTTTCTCTCGTTTTCTCCACAAAATGTAAGCAATGGAAATGGCGAGACTTGATGAGCTTACTGACTCTAATTGTAAGTGAGGAGAGACAGCATGTGTGACATGGGGGTGTTCGGGATTGTACGCATGGCTGAGTTTGCCTTCAAAATTATCTTCTGAATATAGTATTGGACTGAGAAATCAAAAGAAGAGGTGAAGACGATGAAGCTTAGAAAGATGAAGAAGCTGGCACGAAGGAAATATGGCGAAGACAACTTTTTCTTATATTAAAATAGAATATTAAGGAGGAAGAAGCAAAAAGGAAAAAGCGGAGATGCTCGAAAGAAAGTGTGATCATGATGATGGCAAGCAGCATAAAAGCCGTGATTGCTCTTACCACCTCATCTCGTGTCTCTTTTAGTGGCTTTGCGTTTCTCTCAAAAGCTTTCATGCTTGTTTCCAATCTCTCATCATCTCATTTTATATCCATCTCATCTCAGATTGCTTCATTCCACTACCAATTCCTTCCAACAAAATCTTCTGCCTCCACTATCTTCTTCCAAGTTTGTCAAAAAGGAATTCTCCCTTCACAACCCTTTTCCTCCCATCCTCTTCATTCGTTGATAAAAATGAGTAAAGCGGAGTTCTTTTCCATTTTTTTGTGCTCTCTCGAATATCTGATGAAATCTCTTCTTCTCAAATGCAAAATTTCTATTTTGGCAGGGCCCCGTTGAGGCAACGGCCGAATGAGTCAATATCATGAGAAAGCTGGGAAGGCTTGATGAATGGTTAGCCATTAATTTGAGTAATTATCACGCTAATCTGACAAAAAAATTACATTGTAAGGAGAGAGAGTGTGGGGATGGAAAGGAATACTTCTTTAACTATACTATATATAGTTATGTTAAGGGAGAGAATGATCATCATCATTCATTTTGGGTTTGCAAGAGATAGCTGCTGCTGCTGCTGCTGCTGTTGCAATTGCTTGTGCTGTTGAGAGCGAGTTTGAGTTGAAAGTAAAGGAGATGAAATTAAGAATGCAGAACTACGTGATTATGCGTGCGATCAAAAATATGTGATTAAACACAAGAATATTGAGCTGAATTGAGTTGTGAAGCTGTAAAGTAGAGAGAGAGAAGATGTCAACAAGGGAGGAGAGGAGGGAATGCAAAGGAAAGGATATCAGGAATGTTTTAATTAACATGAAATCGCTGACACATATGAAAACAACAACAACAACAGCTCAATCGGCATATTAACTATAAATATATAATTAAACAAATTATTTTTATAATTCAGAATATGCAAATGAGCTTATCTATGCATACTTTAGTTTCAAAAGTTATAAAATTAAAATAGTTTTTGAGAATATTCAAGTTTGGTGGAAGAAGAGACAGCCAGAAGACGAAGACGGAGATGGAGAGAAGAAGAAGAGACAAGCTTTTCCTTATGCCCTTCTTCTCAGTTTCTTTATCTACTTTACTTGTCACAAACATGACCCTCTCTTTCTTTCTCTCTCTGAAATTTCTTTTTCAATCATTCTCTCTCTCTATCATTCTCTTTTGAGTTTTTCCCTCTCTGTTCCTTCCCCTTCCATCCAAAAAACGTATAAGGACAAGTGAAAGCTGACGAATGTGAGAAGGAAAAACACAAAACTGAATTGAAGAAGGAACACACACACACACACACACACACACACATACACTCATACAGATACACACGCGATTGGAAGATGAAGAGAAGATGAAGAAGGAAAAAAGTTTCAACGTTTGTGAAGATGCTGTGAAGGAGAAGACGTCTGAAGTGGGGCCAAATCTAATTGAAACATTTGGAGAGCAAAAGAGTTTCTCATTTTGCTTTTAAAGGTTATTCCATAGATGAAGCTTTTTATAACAGATGATATATAAGGAATGATGGATGCCGTTTGCCGATCAATAGTATGTAGCCTCCCAAAGAGACTAAAACTAGCGAGTAGAAGCAGTAGAAGCAGCAGGCAAGCAGACAGACAGGGCAGCCAAAAGCAGTAGTAGAAATGCCTCGGGCTATATATGGCAACCACATGCATACTTACATATAAAGAGATAGAAAGATAGAGCAAAGAAAAAGAAGTAGACGACGTCTCCAAACTCTCTCTCTCTCCTGAAGCAATAAGAAGAGAAGCTAAGAGAGATGGAGTATGTAGTAGAAGACGTAACAGAAGAGAATAACTTGCCTTATACACATAAATAAAAAGGCTAAATTAGCATAAAAAGTGCTCTCCAGCTTCAGGGCAAACTTTCTCCTCAAAATGAACTTGAACGACGACGTTGACTTGACAGAAATTTTTCATATTTCTGACATTTGAGGAAGTTGATGAAATGCTTTTGAGTTGAGAATACAAAACATTCATTTCCTTCTTACCCTCTCATTCTTTCTCTTTCTTCCTCTCTCTCTCAATCTCTATCAATCTCTCTCTCTTACACTCCTTTATGAATAGTTAGTATAGTAAGCTCTATATCAGTATATACAACATACATATAGTATAGTATTTTCTTCTCTTTTTTTTCAAATAAAATTCGAGAAAGGATAAGATTGAGTTCGTTTTTCGTCTCTTGTTGTCTGTCCAAGCCAATTATGGATGTATTGTGAAGATGAGATTGCCAAGATTTCTTTGGATTATATACTATGATATTTACTTTTTTGCGAGACAGAAATATAAAAAAACCTTTTGTGCTATTGGATACAATGAGAAGGAGACTGAAAGGTTTTTCTTCAGAGAGAAACAGTGAAAGAGTGAGAGAGAGGGTGAGAGTTCGAAGGAGAAGCTTGTTAAGAGGTGAGAAACACTCACACAACAAGAGAAAGAGAGAGAGAGAAAGAGAATAGAAATTTGTATTTTTTGAGGTCAAAACTCGTTTTATGACTGAATTGGAGGAAGTGATGAGGCTGAAGTTAATCATCAACGATAACGAATTGATCTGTGTGAGTCGGGGCACGACAACGTAAAGAGAGAAGATGAGCTGAGTTAAACCTCTTTTTTTCAAAAACGAGTGAAGAAGGGGAATAGAAAGATCCATCAGTTCTCTAAAGAATTAATTAAAATTCAAAAAACTCAATCCTCTCTCTCTCACTCTATCCTCTCCTCTCTCTCTCCCTCTTTCTCTCCTTGTTTTCTTCAAAAATTATTTTTTTCTCTCTTTTTTGGAGCGAGCAAAACAGTTTTCAGCGCGAGACCATTTTCTGGGAATAATTTTCATGAAAATGAATTTGAAACTGAAAGATTTTCCTGAAATTTAATTAAAATTCAAGCTCTGAGTTTGAACGAACAAAGTTCACAAGTACATACATTTGAAACTAAAATTAGCATATTGGGTGATTCATTAGCATAGCGTGAGAACACGTATGTTTACGTGAGAATTTACGTGAGCATTCATTCTTTCTTAACTATGCATACACCCTGAACGGTTGATTCTCATTCTCTCTACCTCTAGTGCTCAAAAACAAAATCTGTAAATGAATAAGAAAGAAGATGAACTTACGAGAACATGGCTGGAACGATTTCAACGTAGAAAGATGGACGGATGTAACAGCTTCCTATATGTGTGATATGAATAAGCTTTTATTAAATTTTCAGCCCCCCTCCGTGAAAAGCTCACGTTTATATTAAATTTCCTTTTTTGGGAGGGCAAAATGAGAAGATGCCGAACTCTTATTTCATTCTTTGCATGTCCATTCATAATCATTATTTCTAATTATATAATATTAATATTTAATATTATTAAATCTATACCGTAATCCGTGAAATAACTTGACTGAATGACCGGCCGACCGACCTATCTCATTCGCAACATAAGTTGCGTCATAATCTGGAGAGGCAGCCGACATCCATATAAGGTGAGTACCAGGAGGGCAGGTGGCATGCCTTTACCATCTCGGCTTTTCAAGTGTTTTTTCATCATCGCAACCACTTCAATATCCACTGAAATGCAGATGCTTCCATATTTGGTCTTTGGCAATCCGATATGTTACTGTCTGCCGTACACAAGCAATCGATATCCATGATTACGTGGAGAAGGAAAAAACCATTATGTGTTATCCCTCCAAAAGTTATTATTAACTATATAATATAGTTAAATATATAATGTGTGTGTGTATGGGTATGTGTGTGTGTGTGTAGTTTGTATGCTGCTTGAGGGCGAGAAATCTAAACAGTTCAATCAGCACTTGGTCATGCCAGATGATGGCCATCAAAGCCCGGCACCGACTGAACTTCATCACACAAATAGAAGTTGTCCGGCATTTTCGGCGCATGATCATCATTCAAGCGATTCAACAAACATTCAATTGACTTCCTTATAAGAAGAATATTGTGGTGACTGGTAGTGTTGTGTATAAGAGACAAAAAACGATTTACAGTACCCATCAAGAGACAGTCCCATACAAGGAAATAGAAGAAGAATAAGAATTAAGCTGAAGTGGAACATCCATCAATCACAAATTTAACTTAAACTTCACATTAATCCCTAATCTGATCATTTGGAGTGCGGGTAAATGAGCTTTCAAGAGAAGATATCTATAGAAACAACCTGTTACCGTAATCTACTCTATCTTCTTCCAAACTTTGTTTGTCTAAAAGCTTATCCTCAATAAGCAATTACCTAGAAAGGAAATCGGCAGTTAGATGATACAAAAAAACGTTCTGAGCATATGCCGATGATAGTTTAAGCTTAAAGAAGATGCCGAAGTCTCGGAAGTCGGCAATTACACTGAAAGTTTCTGAGAATTTCGTTTATTTTAATAACGCTGCTACTTGTGCAACCAAAAGGATGAGCGTCTTGGCCACACATTCTCAGACTGTCAGATGCACGCAGAGGCAGATAGAGCCCATAAGGTTATTATAATATAATATGTGTTAACTATATGTATATTATAAAGTACAAGACATATTCCCATGCAATTAGACAGACGGACACCCCTCTCACTTCTCATTCTCTGTCTACTTGCCTAATAGCAATTTGGTGGCTCCATGCAGACTCATCCTTCCACCTCTTCTCAACATGCTCCTCATAGATACATATGAAACAGTTTTAGAAGACGTCATCTGTTAAAGCACCCTTTGACACCTTTTATAAGCTTAGAATGTGTGAAAGTTGACATTTATCTTTTTCTTTTCACACATTTCACGTGAATATTGTTTAAATACAGATGTTCCGTGACTTCAGTTATCTAAAGGTGCTAAAGGATTGAATCAGCGGGAGTCTGAGAGACATCAAGTGTCACCTCATGGTCACTCAAGTACACAAATGTTTAAAAATTATGAATTTTTTGTGTATTCACAACCGATTCTGACCGTCTGTTCCATTAAAATGAATTTCCTGTTTGACGTGAAATACGTGACTGACGTGAACCACGTGATGATATACTTGAATCCATGTGATCAGCTGGAAGCAATCTGTATTATAAAGATAACCATTAATCGGCTTTGGAGAGCTTTACAAATCCTTATAAGGAAACCATCCAATGTTTACAAGATATGCTCATATCCATGCGTGAATCGTTGAAAGATGAGAAAATGAGTTGCCAAATGCCTTGAAAGGAAAGGGCCATCATTGAAGTATTTGCAGGTGTATTTACAGGTAATTCGATCTAGACGAAGACTTCCAAAGATGGAATTACACATGCCCTTAGGTATGAACATATCAATTCATATACTATATAGTATATAGTTAATCATATTGATCGTCTCATGAATAAATAAAGAAAAAAAAACAATTAACTATGTGTATATAGTTAACAATGTGATTTCAATGTCCAAATGTAAAACAAATATTTGAAAACGTTTATTATCGGAAGTTTGATGAATATGCTAATTATATTATTATAGTTAACACATTCATTCATATTCAACAATATTTGGCGCATTTTCAACAATGCACTTCCGTACCCTCTTCTCAAAAAACCAAATAAGCACTTTCAAAAGGTACAAGAGAGGTAGAGAGTGAGAGAGATAGAGGGAAGTTCAACTCTCTCTCTCTCTCTTTCACCTTCGAAATAAGGAAATTGAGAGAGAGAGAGAGTTCACTTTACCTCAATCCATCACTCTCCATCTCTCTCTGTCTCTTTGTTTGAATACAGATGTCTTTAATCTTAACTGTTTATGTTGTAATTTTTTATTTGTTTATCTGTCATACCGACATAGAAGCTAGTTAGCGATATGTTCTTCAAAAGGCATAGTTAAGCTCTTAAGACTAATAGATATGTACTTAAGTTTTTGTCCTTTGATGACCTATGGAAGCTTTTAAAGCTTTACAGCATTTCCGACGACAGTCTCTACCGCATGCTTCAACTTCCCTATACCACATGGCGTTCTGATTGTTGACAGGCGGCAAGCTTGTGTTCCATCACTTCCATCACCACTTCATTAGATGAATTAGAAGAAGTTATATATGCTTGAAGATGGTAATGAGCAAATTAAAAAACGACCGTTTTCCCCGCTCTGGCTGTGCTCCTTTCATTGATGCTCTCGCCATGTTTGGACAATGAAAAGTTTGATGAATAGAAAGGAAATTGCGCAACCATCTCTTGAGTTGCTGCTCCTGGTTTGAGCACACTGTAATCAACTGGTCAACCGACGTTCAATATCGAGTTAACTATATAGGTATAGTAAAGGATTTAACACATCCGCTAATATCTAATTATATAATTAATTTATATAATAACATGGATAGCATGACCGCCGATGCATTAGGAGATTTGAGGTGTGATGGATTCCGATGAAGGAAATGCATCATCTAATGAAGAGGATTAACAGATTCCCTCTCCCTGTTAAACAGTTGAAGTCTCAAAGTGTGGGACATATGTGTGGCCCTTTTTTATTTTTTTATTCTTCCTTCAACTGTCTTCTAGCATGGACTGAGCATCGTCTTGACCCATCTATGCCTGTTCCTTTCATTATAGAAATGACAAAGAGAGACAAAGTAAGACATAGAGAGAGAGTGTGAAAACTGACATAAATGTCTTCATAACATCACCACTTCATCAATCTGTTCATATAAGGTGATAGAAAGGGAATTCATTCAAAACGTTAAGTGGTCATCTCCATGTAAGGAGCATGAAATACACCTTTTATTCTTCATTAATAGATGTCTGTTGTAAGAATTCCTTTTTCTCAAGTATGTTCAGTCTGAAGGTCTGTTTTATTGTTTCCCAAAACGTTGTGTCTGAAGGCGTCCCCCTCTCTCTCTTTCTCTCCATCTCCTTTCCTTCTTCTTCTCTTCTAACACATCTACCACCACACCATCTACCGTAACCCCCCTCTACCCTCCACTGTCTGGTTGGTTGACGAACGACAAGACGACGAAGAGGATTCGTTTTGTTTGATTAAAAATGAAGAAAAAACTTTTCTTTTTAATAATAAAGTTTATTTCTTTTTTATAATTTAATAAGAATGGATTAGACATCTCTGATACAGGATAGACGAAGATAGCATATGAGAAGAAAATAATTTACTTTGTATGTTATATGTACAATTCTTATAATGAGAATAAGGAGGAGAAGACGACTGGAAACACTGTTTAGGAGGGAAAATCTGTGTAGAGAGAGAGAGAGAGAGAGAGTGGAAGAGATTGTGCTTCTTTGGTCGCACTCATATGAACCTGTGTTTGAGAATTCTGCTGTGTTCAGTTTTACATAGTATGCAAGAGTCTACTAGTAAGATAGAGAGATAGAGAGAGAGTGATGGAAAGTGAACTTCTTCATGTTAATTATACATATAGTATGGCATTTACCATTTAAGGCTATACGATAAAGAGTTAATTAATTAAAAATGTCAAAATTTGGTTGTTGTGGTGAAGGGATGAGGATAGAAATTTGAAGGTGGGAAATCTGATGGTGGGAAAGACAGGAACTGAGGATTGTAACTACCATTTGATGGATAAATCTGAAAAAAGAATAAATGAGTTATTCAATTAAGCTTTCAGCTTTATGTTGTTGAAAAATAAAATTTAATTTTCAAGTCTTGAAATGGAGACGTCTGGACATCAAGTGGCCAACGTAATGCGATTGGTAAGCCAATCCGGTTATTAGTTAATCGAGTAACTGCTAAGCAGATGTTTGTGCATTTCAAAATTCAATTTTACTTTCTTTCAAATAAATTTTTTCCTTTTTTAGCTTTTTTCTTGCAAAAGAGAGAGAGAGAGATCAGAATATTACCTGAGGATAGAGTCCGATTTCGGGTAAACACGATGAATCATTGATGCTTGTAGAGGAGAATACGGTAGATGACTTTTCCATTGGCTCAACATCTGATTTGATATCGATTGATGTAGCTCTGCAATAGATGATATGAGATGAATCTTCTACTTTGTATAACATACTGTGGACTTTCTGTTCCACTTGTATGGGAATGGGGGGATACGCTTTCATCTCCAGTTCCGTTCAAACTTGGTTCTCCAGATGCCAATCGTCTATCGCGTTCATTTCTCTTGTGCTTATAACGTTGGTTTTGGAACCAAATTTTGACCTGCAAATCATAAGAATATAATGTACATCTTGAGTTTTTGTGATTTTATTCTTCTCATTCTTCCCCCCTAGTCCTCTTCTCTCACAGTCTCTCTTCTTCCCTCAAAACGGAAATCAACGACAGAATGCCAAACAATCATTCAACAGGCAACACAGCACTCGTTTCGTCAATGTGTTACTACCGTAATTGGCTAAGATTGTGAAGCGTCGGGACCCGTTTAGACAGCAAAAGAAACTTGCTGCTTAGCTTGTTATGTATTAAAAGAAAAAAGACTATAAAAGGAAGACACAAATGAATAGAAAGAACCAGTTAATAACTTTTGTGTACTTTTTCACGTGAGGCACGTGAACGAGTTCACGTAGAACACTCACGTAAACACGTAAGAGTGAGGAAAAGTCATTTAGTAGATTACAGACGCGGTGAGCGGTTGCATTGGTAAGTTAGCTCACTTTGTAATTGAATAGTTAATTACATACCTGGGTAGATGTTAATCCTATAGCTCGGGCTAATTCTTCACGGCTTTGTGAAGTAAGATACTTGTTGATCTTGAAAGCTTTCTCCAATTCAATAACCTACAGATATGGTAATGAGAGAGGTTCAGGAAGGGTTTCAATGCTTACCTGTTGTTGTGTGAAAAGGTTTCTGCGTTTGCGTGATCGTCCAGGCTGACTGACAGCTAATGGGCTACTAGTTAATGGACCAATGGGATTGAAACGATTCACTGAAAAGAAAAAAATATGTTTGAGTATATCCCGCTGTTTAATAGATAAATAAATGATACATCTAAATATGTGTAGGCTTCTGATGCTGTGTTCTAACTATATGCAAATATAGATAAGGGCATCAAGCTAGGTGTCATGTTGAGGTATGGTGATGGGGATGTAAAATAAAGAAATAGTATTGTTGACTGAGAGAGGATACAGAAAGTTCTTGACCCGATAGAGCTTGATCAATATGGAAAAGCTGGAAGGTAATACAACAAACTTGATACCAAACATGACAGTCAATATGATGAGAAGCTATTAGATTTTCTTAAGTGATGCTTCACAGTCTTAGCTTCCGTCTAAGCTTTACAATATTTGATATGCAAATGAGAAGTATCAGTCTGTTCTTCTGCAAAAGGAAAAAGCTTGATGATGAAGAACGGTAGCTATGGGTTGGTAGCTAGATTGACCTTGTCTAATAGATGAGATTATAACACTAATGACGTCATCTATATACAGAGTAATCTATACGGTTCACGTAATATACTTGAAATAGCCTGGAAATAGTAGTCGATGGCAAATACCTCATTCGACTACCTATCATTCATCATGCCTTTTGTTTAATTGATCTGTCTCAAGTATTACATATGACGTCATTATAATCAACTTCATATGCAAATTAAGGAGCGATATTACAAATTTCTAAGCTCTCCTTTCCTGTCTCTCACAGTATCCATCCATCCATCTCTCTCTCTCATTCTCTTCCTTTGTCTCTCTCTCTTCCATATTCATATTTTTTTTCTTGCTCTTCTTATACATGTGCTTGTCTTTTAATCTTCAATACATTCACAGATTCACAAGCTGACCATCTATAGTTCGACCTCATGTTAGGCACTTGAAAAACCAAAATTTCAATGAGGCCAACTCACTGAAGTACGGTAGACAGATGGTCTTATGAACTACTGGATGAAGCATGAAGCACAAGTTAGCCCATCAGAGAGAGTAGAAAAATGATTTCTTATATAATTCTATTGATGAGGTGTTATATCTTGGGGATGGCAGGTCTCTACGTTTGCTTCTTGGCCGAGTGAGTGGGAAAAAGGGGCGAAAAAAAACTGGTTGCTTTTGCATTCTTCTGTTTATACATCTTCTCTAGGTGTAGGAAGTCTCAGATTGAATTTTGAAGCATTTGATGGGAAGGAGGGAGAGATGAGACGGAAAAATAAAATAGTAAAGGACTGTTAGAGGAACTAAGAAAAGGAACAATTTGGCTGAAGCGAACAGAGAGAGAACGAGCAAGTCGAAGAGAGACAGGTTTTTGTTGCGGATTACGGTAATTCTACATGTTCACAGATGAATTCGAGAAGGAAAGAATGATTTTGAAAAAGAAGGGGAAAGATTGGAAAAGAGAAGTAAAAGTCTTCTCTCTTACTCTATTTGGTCAGTAGATGATAAGAATGAACTGTTTTACAGTAAGCAAAGAAGTAAGAGTGAGAGAGTGAAGAAGAATGAGAGAGAGTTAGAGAAGTATAAAGGTATGGTTGAACTGGCCGAATGAAAAAGTTAAATTTGTTGGAAAGTTTTGGTAATAAGAAGATGAAGAATAAGAAGATAGACATATTAGGACATAGGACGAGACAAATTGTGTGAAATTGAGAGTATAATTAAGAAGAGCCAGTCATATTCACAGTCAATTATCGGTAAAATAAGGTAGTTGAAGACAAATAATTGAAAAGAGGGTAGGGCGTTTATTCATTGAATTCAAAGAGAATTGTTCATATAGTTGTATACCAGATACGGTTATAACCAAAATCCGGATAGCTTACATGAAGACGAAACGTGTCAAGACAGTTTCTCTTTTTCAGATTTTGAGCTTTTGCTTCTTTTTAGATGAAGGAGAGAGATGACATGAAACTTACTTGAAGCTAAACGGGAATCATAGTGTGGCCAGGCAGCAGTTGTTGGTCCACCAATGTAACTGAAGATTAGAATATGAAGATGGATAACGATAAGTAGTTAGTACCTGAACTCGCTGTTGTTGGGGTAATGGAAAGCGTTTCCGACGAAGTTATACATGGCATGAGGAAAGTTGCGAACTCGGCAACGACAACTTGGATCTACACATGTTCCATCTATACAAGCAGATGATTGGGTAACAGACATGGTGATATCTAGGAAAAAGGATTATTAGGTGAGAAAAGGAGAAAATGGTGAAAATCAAAGACAAATACGTAGAATTAGCAAAAACGGTCAGTTTACTCACCCGAGTCCAAGAGCTAGCAAGTCACGTCGTATATGCGTCATCTGAATTTTTTTCGAAAGAGATTCACTATGCATCACAGTCGTATAAGTTGACAGTAAAACAGAATGAAGATTGAAGCTAAGGTGACACAATGGCATTGAGAAGGATGAGGTAAAAGATGACGACGTGACTGGAGGGTACTCGCTCATGGACTCGCGTGGAAACAGAGAACAACTCTTGAAATGGCTCTCTTGCCAGTCAAAAGACAAACGGAGAGTCTCTTAAGAGCCCATACTCAGTTGACTCTTGATGATGATGAGGATGAGTCTAGTAGGTCCTCCTTCACCACCCTACAAGACATCTATCCCCTTCTTCCCTTGGGTGGCTGCTGGATGAACAAGCGCCGCCCACTAGACTCACCAAGCCAAGCCGCCCAAGCTCCACCCCGTAGCCCCGCCCCTAAACGATGGGCAACTGTAAAAAAAAATGAATTTTAACATAAAACCAATCAATTTGCATATTAAAAGATAAAATAAAGATAAAAATGTTCAAATAGAAATGTGTAATGAAAGGAAGAGAACGTGTCGTCGTTTCTTCAAAAACTGCCGTCGTGAGGAAGTGAATGGTTGCAATTGAAAGAAGGTACAATTAGAGTAATTTAGGAAGTAGCGAATACGGAGAGAGAGAGATGCAGAAGTAAAGAAGTGATTGAAGACACAACAAGGATGTTGAAAAGAAATATTTGAATGTTAAAACATGAAAAACGTTCTTTGATGATAGATGGCAACAAGAGGTGTATGAGGATGAGTGTGTGTTGTGCAGGTGAAGTTAAGAAGACATGAAGATCGTTGCTGTCACCACCGTATGTATCCTATGGTCATCTAATCATTTTCATATCCAAATCAATTTGATATGAGTTAGATGAAAGACAATATGCTTTAATTAAAATAGGATAATCTTTTAGATGTTTCTTCTGTCAATAGTAATGTGATAACAGTCTTAATGACACTTGAATGCTACACTTGATCGAATGAAACACGAAGTACCTCCTTCAATCAAATTATTCAAATATTTAAGGATTTTATATATTATATTTGTAAATGTTGTTTTTTTTTATTCATTTCCTGTATTCACATAGCTTACAGCTAGTTTTCCCAAAATCTTATCACTTAATGAATCCTCTCACTATTCACCTTCACCACCCACAGCTTGTGCATAGCTTTTGGCAAATGACTATTACTCACATTCAATTTTCATTCAAAAACATCTCTTGCACAAGGTCAGAGACAACCATTTCAATACAAAAACGCTTTTTGTTCCTTTTTTGTAACATTTTAAGTAAATATTCGAATATCGGGCAGTCGGCACGTGTGTTTCATAGTTCTGCTTCCGTGAAAGCTTACGTGGATTTCACGTCAAACAGCTCTCACATCATTTTGTAGTTGTGAGACATAGAGAGCAGTAGCATTCACCTGAGCTGTTAATACCTAAGGTGTTCATGTATACCTTGGGGGTATATTAACCTCAGGTCATAACTATAAGGTCATATAAGGTTAAAATGGAATATAGGAAGCATAATCATCATCTTATTCTTGATATCAAACAAATTCAGAAGATGATGTCATTATAGAATTGGAGTTGACGAGCTTTGTTCAAATGAATGGATGAAATGAATTGTTTGTAGTTGTTTATACATCTATACGTATATATCAAAATCAATTTATGATCTCAGTCAACAAAACAATATAATAATTGAAAAATCACATCATGGATGAGAGTGTATGGGTGTGTGTATGTTGGATGATGGTGTGGTGATGAGTTGTGAAGAAGATGGGCAAAATCATTTAAAATCGGCTTGAACTAAGATGTTCAATATGCTCAATTGAGCATTTCTCAAGAGCATCGGAAATAAAAATGTCATAAATGGCCTGACAATCTGCTGATCATTGTCAAGAATACTCTTCATATTAAAATAAAATTTCTAATTAAGTGGTTGACAAATGATTTGCTGTTCAAGTATACTTGAGATGACAGTCGATTCCAAATTACGGGTGCTGTTCGCACTTTGATTACTTCACACATCTCCATATCCTCATCTAGGTAATGATCTCATGTAACAGTACTGTGAGAAACAGAGTGACATCAAGAGAGTGTCTGTGTCGAACAAAGTTTTTCATGTCATCACATCTTCTTTATTATCGTTCACAGCTCTACATTGATGACAAAGCTTCCGTTACTAATGAATAGACTGCTAAGGTCGGAACAACTTTTATCTTCTGCTTATACCGGAAAATGCCGTTGGGTAAGAACTTCCTGTTCACCTATTCATCGTGGTTGTCCCTCTAGCACTTCCGTCCATTGTGAATGTTATGAAGGATCGAACACGGAATCTCTGATACTGAGCTGCCGGTATCTTTCTTCTATTATTTTAAAAAGAAATCTCTGACACTTTCATTCAATTTACTTTAGCTATAAGCGAAACCTTATGAAAGGTCTTCTCTTTCTTCTTCTTCTTCTTCTTCTTCTTCATACTTATCTTTGATCCATGAATCATTCTTCTACATCTACATCTTCAAACTGGGCCACGTCTTAAATCGGTCAGGTCCACAGCTATGTGTTGATAATCTCATTATCATTATCAGCAGCACTTTCATCGATGATCTTTCTTTTCATTATTCTAAACATAGGTAAACTCAATGTCCCTACTGCATATGCTTATTCTTTCTCCTATTTTTAAGTCTTTTTTACAACTTCCGCCGATGTCATGTCCATGGTTGATTCCAAATGGATGGACAGCTTTGTGGCTCCAAAATATGCAAGATTTAACGATCAACGCAATGAAGGTCAGTAAGTTTCACTTTGAAAGCTGTCTCTATGTGTGTGTTTTTCGCCAAATCCAACTATGTTTTCGTTTTACTATCGTTTCAAGTATCTTTTGCTACTTCTCGCTAATCGCATATCATTGAGTTGCATAGTGAGTGGTGAGATACGCCTTAGCGTAGAAATTCATTTTCATTTCCATTGTGAACTCGTGAGAGACGGTTGTGCTCATTCAAAATCTCATAACTTCATTCATTTTCCAGATGGTGAAGCTGACGTAACGAAAGATAACAATTATGGGTATAGTGAGCAAGGAATGAAAGATTTGGATGAGGTAGTGAATTTATAAAACATTTTACAATTCAAATATATTTTAGGTTGGATCCTTGGTCGGTGGAGGAGATTCTGATCTATTGGGAATTCTACGGCCCTATTATTCAGTTGTGGACATGTCGGCAAATGGAAATAAGCAAGTCCGTATTTCCTAGATTTAAGTGCAAATTACAAGCAAACACACCAACTATATAGCTTCTACCTTTACTCAAAGATGAAAAACATTGAAATGAAGTGACAAAAGTGATTATTTAAGGGAATGGGATCATATCTGCACGTGTTACCCGACTCTTCTGAGAGTGATGAACCTGTTTACTCACTAGGAGCATCATTCTTTGGTGGAATTGAACCTGCTGGAACGAAAATGGGATATATGACTCGTCCGTTTGGATAATTCCATTGAGGAAGAAGAACACACACACCCATTTTACTAATAAAATATAGTTTTAATGTACGGAATGAATAAATAATTAGAAGCTTGTTCATTCACGCTCTATAGAGGCCGCGTCGCGTGCTTGACACGCACGCGTCGCGAAGCTTTTTGTCATTAGAGTTTTGGCAGAAAAGAGTTTTGCCTGCTGCTTTATATGGAAATTGAATGATGGCAAACATGAACAGCCTTGCTTTTATTCCATAAGTTTTAACGAGTTTGATAAGATATTCGTGAAGCAGCTTTTCACAAGATAAGGTAAGACCTCATTCGTTTCGATCTTCTTGCTATTATGTCGATGTTGCATTTCAGCTTCTCCTAATGACAACCTTTTATTGTTATGATTGTTCGACTGATTCAGCAGCATATAGCTCCTCAGCTGATCTTGAAATACATATTGCCAACGACCATCTCAATATATGTCTTTACGAGTAATTATTGATTTATTTTTTCAAAAATTTGCAAACTGAAATTTAAGATGTGAGAAATGCAAGTTTGCTAAGTTTCCTACCGAACACTCTTTAATTATGCATTATAAGCATGTACATGAAATGGAAGACTTCTATGTTTGTTTGTTTTTCTCAATTTTTTTCTATCTGCTTATCTGCGTAGGTTCGTTATCGACATACCCCGGAAGGAAAAATACGACTTGACCAATTACGCGAAAGATTAGCTTTAAGTATCAGACTGAGTGAAGCGAAATCGCCTACTGATCTACCTTTGTTTTCTGCCAAAGTAACATTCTACATATGCTTGTTTTGCGTACTTTACTCGTTTTGTTCAGATGGATGATGTGCTACTAGGGAATTTTTCACAGAGCAGTGTGCCCTCACTCTCATCGCCTGAATGTCCGGAAAGGAGATCCAGTTTACAAGGTTAGCTTTCCTTCCTTCGAACTTCTTTCACATTTTGATGGGATTTAGGCAGTGTAGACGATACAACTAACGAATTACTCTCAAGTATAGATCGAGTCATAGGAGAAGCTGAAAATCTAGTTAAAAAGGTTGCGAATCTTCATTTTCCCACTCACTTTCTTATCTTCCTTGTTTTCAGAAGAAAGGTCTTGTGAGTTGTCAGCTTTGCGGTCTGCAAGTTTCTAACCAGCGCTCCAGCTTAATCTACCATGCTAATACTAGGTAGCATCAGCATGACTCACCTTTCCTCACCCCACTATCTTTGTAGGCATATCAAACTCACACTCTACCAATGCTCAGTTTGTAACAAAGTGTGGCACACTATAGCCAAGTCAGATGTTGTGAAACATGTAAAGGTTTGTGAAAAGCTATCGTTCTGCGTTTATTGCCATCTAAGGCTCTACATAATGGAGATGAATCTATGGTCATAGATAACAGGAAGTCACTTGCTCAAGATTTACGTTCATTTACTCTAAAGTGTTTCCCACCCGATCCGTCGGCTAGAAAACGCCCTATGAGTCAAGGTAACAGACTGATCACGTATCATTTCCGTTTAATTTAAGAAAATATAGGCGTTTCTCCTGATAGAACTTCTTCTCAGTCAAGTTCCTTCGAATCATTGCCTCCTCAGCCCTCTCAATCCTCTTCTCAGCAACAACAAGCGCCATTCGTGATTCCCAAGTTGGAGGAAATAGATTACGATTACGCGGTCGAAAATCCATTTTGTGAAATGGTTAGTTCTTTCTTCAATTAGCTAGTCGAACTTGATATGTCTTTGCAGGCTCGTAAACTGTGCTCTTGAGCAGTTCTCATCCTGAATTTAAGCTTTAATTTTGAATCTGTGCTTTACAATCGGCTTTTACACAATGATCTTATGTTCATATATTTTAGTTATTGTCATATCCTGTTAGCGACTACAGTTGCATAGTATTTTTGTTCAGGTGAAGGTGCTATGACTCCTCCTCAGCATAATTTCTATTTCCGAGTTTGTTGTTTCTCTTACATGGTGCTAGTCACTGTTACCCTCATCCAGTCCTGTTTATAGCACCTTTATTTACATCTGTGATATGCATTCACCTTTCATATTGTCTATATTAATAACTTCATTAATAATATTTTCACTTGTACATTTTTTTTTTTAAATTTCTGTTTTAATCGATTTTACCTGTTTTTCGCTTGGCCGTTAGATTTGCAGAAATCTCCTAAGCAACACAATTCTTTTGATTGAGACCGGAAAAAACTAGTACTCAGATTCATTCTCGAGCAAAGCTGCTAACTGAGATACTTGGGCGGGTTTCTGGTAGTACCTGAGAAGTGATGATAGCTATTCGACCGGAGCAAACTAAATCTTCGAGCAATCAGAGCATAACTTCTGAAACTTTTCGAATTCCAAACAAAGTGATGTGAGTATGAGGGGGAGGAACTTGATCAGCTTGATTGCTTCTGAAGCCACGCTTCGTTTTCCCACAATGACAGAATAGTATGATGGTTTGCTATCTTTGCTCATACTTCTTATACTGTTCCGTTTGAGGGAACGAAGGTTTGAAGAATGAGTCTTGAGTGAATCGTGGGACCGTTCGATGTTTTCCAATGTGTTTTTTGTGTTTCAGTAAAATTGAATGTCGAAATCAAAAAGCACGAGATATTCCCATAAAATATTCATAGTTGTCTAGTATTTCTGTTCAGGTGAAGATGCTATGTCTCCTCCTCCGCATAACTTGTATTTCCAAATTTCATCACAGTTTTTCAATAATATTCTCACTTGTACTCTATAGAGAAGAATTGAACAACTGTGAAACGTCATTACTCATTTCATTTGGAAAATTTTAGTTCGATAAACAATTTGCTCACAAGTTCATGGGTCATGCTATTTTTTTGAGAAAGTACGCAAGTTCGCGTGAGCGTTTTGAAAAAAATAAATACGTAGTACGCAGGGTCGCGTATGTCACTGATGACAAAATAACTCAGAGTTATAGTGTTTTCTTTTTATACTTCATCTTAATTATTTTATTAAACATCGAATATCATTCAGATGGGAGAAGAAGTGCAAAAAATGGATATTGAAGACGCCGGTGAGAACACAGCTGGCAAAGAGAAAAAGAGATTCGAAGTAAGTGCGCCGACAACTGGAGTAGCTTTCATTGTTTCTCCTTAGGTAAAGAAGTGGTCAGCTGTTGCTTTGTGGGCTTGGGATATCCAAGTAGATAACTGTGCTATTTGTCGTAATCATATTATGGATCTGTGTATTGAATGTCAAGCTAATCAGGTAAGCAGTTCTTCCCTTGACCGTAGCTTAACCTTGATGTCTTCAGGCTTCTGGTGCTAAAGAAGATTGTACGGTTGCGTGGGGTAATTGCAATCATGCTTTCCATTTTCATTGTATTTCTCGCTGGTTGAAGACACGACAGGTTAGTGTACTGACTTAGAATACTTGAATAAACAGCCTTGTTAGGTATGTCCTCTGGATAACAGAGAGTGGGAGTTCCAGAAATATGGACGATGATCTCCTCATGTGTGTGTGTATGAATTCTCTTAACTCAAAGCTCTTTTCCAGCGGCATGTTTTATGTATAATTATCATGATTTATAGTAATTTCTGGTGACAGAATACGGTTTTCAATGCTCTTATTGACTCATTGTATCAATTGAAGTATCATCACTAACGATAAAGATGATTCTTTCAGTCTTCCTTTTTTGTGTTGTTTTGTTCGTGAAAATAGAAAAAAAGCTTCTTTTTTTACGAAATATCCGACGAGATGTACTTCAGAATCTTTTATTAGATGTTTTCATGTTGGAGCTTTCACAAGTGGAATCTTTTTGTTCTCATCACTCGTAACGCAAATCTGAAAGATGTCCATCGTGTTTGTTCACGTACATCCGATCCCTTTACCTGCATTTCCATCAGGATTGTCTTGGTGGTCTTCAGTAGCTGGTAGACTTGTTATCTGACAGCTGGCTCAGTTCCTGTGCTTCCGACATCCAAAAAATCCCATCACCAGCATTTTCCTGTCCTTGTGCCTCTATCTGGGAGGAATAATTGATGTTTCTGTTTTCTATACCGTCCCCACCCATATTTATTATATGCAGCTTCTATTTATTCAAAACGACTTGATTGGGTAATAAGTATGAGATCGGTGGGAGTTCCGTCGTCCTCTGCCATATTTGGCTAGAGGATTTACCAGATCATCTCTAAGGAACACTACCGGCAGTTGACTTCTTCTTCTTCGCCCTATTAATGAAAGAAACTGTTCCATTATGTCTTTTTCATTTCTCCAATCGTTTTTCATTGCATAAATTGTTTCAATGACATCTGTTCCTTTACAGACTTTCATCAATGATATCAACATAGATCATGAATTTTATTTTATTTTTTCTCATTTGTTTTGTATTTGCAAATGAGGTAGGTTCATTGCTTGCTTTCTTTGCTTATCGTCTTTCCAGGATATTGTTTCAAACAACAGCTATGTAGGAAGTCTTTTCAATGTCAAGATACGTCTGCCACCCAAAGATCTGTCAGAACGACGTCTTCATCGAATATCTACGCAAACTTATGGTTAGCTTTCACTATATTCATCTTTTTATTATAGAAAACAACGAAAATAGTAGAATGTGAGTGTCCCCCATTCGTCCATCCCTCCTTTCTCCCCTCCATTCATATCTCATCCGTTTTTTCAATCACTGAGCTCTTATCACTTGACTGCACGTAACATGTTAGTCTATCACTCCATCATCTGTCCATCTCTTAGCTTATATGGCCTTTTTTGTTTTGTAGTCTCTCTCTTCATTCCCTACGCGTAGCTCTCCTCATATCTCTCTTTGTCTCCAAATCTCCATCATCATCATCATCATCTTGGACGTGTAGACAGGCGACCACGTCCTACAGTGGAACCCAACATTGAATGAGATGAAGAAGAAGCTGAGGCCTTTATCAAGTGGATGGAGGTGGTCACGATCATCTCCGATACTCTCATGCTCGTCCATTTCACTTCTTCTCACTTTTGAGCATCTTGTCTCAGGATTTACTTCTGATTTGAGCTCATCTAAAGAGCCGCTTTCACTTGTTTTCAGCTGCGAAGATAAATTCTTCAAAGCTTCTTGCTATAATTGGAATCATTAGTCCGTCCCGCTTCATTTTATGTCGATCAAGTCGTCCAGCGTTTCTTTTGAACCTGAAACTCATCTTCTCTCTTCCATTCCGTTTCTAATGACTCACGAAAAAAGCGAATTATTTATGTTTTGAATTAGCTGCATACGATTTCTTCGATTTTTTTTTGTTCTCTTTTCATTTGAAATTAATCTGAATTCTTAACTCGTTTATAATCTTATGCTTTTCGTGAACAGAAGTGTGTTGATCCTCTCGTTTGAGTGATTTCTCATACTCACCTTAAACACAATCTATCTTTTGCTTTCTGATGATCTCGCCTTTACTGTCGAATTTGCTCCTACTCCTCTCCCTCTCCTCTGTTTGTGTTGGTCATTCTCGTCAACTTCATATCAACTGTGAAAGCAACAAGTGACCCAAACCATCGTCAACCACTTCGAATATATTGGTTTACATGCGTCACTTTCAATTTCAATTGATTTCAAACTTTTAATCCCATCAAGGATGGATGAAAGATATGAGGGTTGAGATGATAGGAGTGTTTCCTTGTCCGAATGTGAGAAATGTTCTTCGGACCATGAAACTTCACGAGAGCATCAGTTGCTTCGTCGAAACCTTTGCTCTATCATTTTGTTTGCCCTGTAGAAGAGGATTTATGAATCTCTTTGTTCGATCGAAATCAAAAGAGCAAGTGGTTCAAGAGAGAATGAGACAAAGCGAATCGAAATCTCAGATGCTGCTCATGAGACTGTATCTCCTTTGTCTTCGTATATCCGATGTGCTCAGATTTCGAGCTGGAGCACATGAACCTTTAATCCATTTTTTCAATGAAGCCCAAAGACCATTCAAATATCTTCAGAGCTTCTCTCTATTCTTCAATCATTTGAATGTACACAGACTCCATCTTGTTCAGCTTCTCTCTTTCTCTCGGTTTCTTAGAGTATATTTCTGCGGAGAACTGTTCGTTCTCACATTTCATCTCCATCGGCGAACACAAGCCATACATAGCAGTTTGCAAACTTTCAAAAAGCACCGTTAAACTCTTCGTAATCCTTCAAACCTAGTTTTCCAAGCTCAACTTTTTTTTTCTCGTTTCCATTCATAGCTCCTTCCTTCAAACGAAAGTTTTTTTTTTCAGTTTTCTATTTTTAGTTGTATGAGGTGTAATGAACTTGAGATGAAAACGGCACCGGTAGTTGGTAGATATGTTTGGAATACTGTTGAGTTCCTTCTGAACCCAACGTATTTTCTCCAATTACTACTCATTTCCTGTTGTTTTACAACCTCTGTTAGATCAGATCTCCTAGTGCAGCCAGTGATCCTTTCCTCTGTCAACTATGATGGTTCGTTGAGAAAGTGATGAGAGTGAACATAATGAGAACTATTGAGTTAATTAGAAGCTTTATGAACCACTCCTTTAGATTATTCGTTACTATGTGCGGAGGGGATCCCTTTATTGATGGAGGACCATCGTCCTAGAACCTGCCATCCAAAGCCTTGGTTAGAGAATCAGAAGTAATTTTATTATTAAAATTGTCTTACTCCTGCTATTTGTAATTAGATGCCCTCGTGGGTTCTGGTGTCATCACGGAGAAGAAGCTGCCACGTATTATTGTTGTCCAGAGAGTCGGAAATGTAAGATTAGCATATTGACCACGCCATTTTCATTTTTCATTCCCGAGCGTTTGCGTGCGGTTGTGGAATCAGATTGTGATTACACATTATACTCATTTCCTTTTTTTTAGTTAAAAACTATTGTCATCTACCACCTGCAACCGGATTTGGTCAACAATCCGTTCGTCGTTTCTATTACGATTGGAAAACTGACGGATGTCACGAGATTCTCTATACTGGGATTGGTGGGAACCAAAACAGTTTCTTGACTTATGAGAAATGTGAAACATCATGTAGAGGTATGTCATCGCTATTTAACGCTCATTCTTCACATATATCTGTTTGTTTAGGTGCTGGAGAACCTCCGAAGGCTTTACAGAATTCTATTAAATATCCCAAAGACAAAGTTGATAAAGGTGGACGGAAAATCGAAAAGGAAAAGAAAATACTCAATGGGTTCATGGAGAAAACAACGAGTACTCCTCTGGTTCATGGCACATATACAACTTCACCAGTCAAACCTATTTCTATCGGTTTGATTCATGTCATCCAGATTTACACCCGGTTTCCTTATTGCAGATAACAGAATGGATAAGATTGTGACTCTAGTTAATATTGTTCCAACTGCATCGACGTCAACAACGAAGTTCTCAACTAAGAGAGCTTCGACGGCAGCCACCACAACAACTGCGAGAAGTACACAAACACCTCAAGCTACATTTGCCCCCGTTGTTGTTTCGGAACCACAAGATTCCGGAAATCCTTGTGATGAAATTCCTGACCCAGGAAGGAGCGGCGGAATCGCCAAGCAAATGTGGATCAAACTTTACATTATTTAAATCAGCTGCAAAATATTTTTAGGTGGTATTACGACTCTACAGGATTATCATGTGTCCAGTTCACGTATATGGGCTCAGGAGGAAATTCGAATAGGTTCCAAACAGCTAAAGACTGTATTCGAGTTTGTGGAATAGGTATTCAATTCATGTTGCAGCCTATTATTTGTACTTCTCTCTTTAGGTAAGCCTAGTCGCAAAGCCTGTGAGCTGCCGCCTGCAATAGGAAATGGAACATATAAGGTACTCACGTATACAGAAAAGCTCTTCATTTTTTCTATTTCCAGGTCCCTCGATACTATTTTGACAAATCATCTAGACAATGTGAACTGTTCTACTATTCTGGAGATAATGGAAATGACAATCGATTCTACAAAAAACACAAGTGTGAACGGCTGTGTTTAGGAAGTACGAAAATGTTCAAAAACGTTATTAACTTATATATCCAGAGTCACAAAAGAAAAAGGAACATACAACCGTTTCGCCCAAATCTCCTGCCACCCAGCCGACTAGACCACCAGAGCGTATTGTTCAGAACCTGGTTGCAGCTCAAACGCAAAGTTCTTAGATTCCATTTTCGGAGTATAAATTATATTTTCAGGTCCAATCGTTCACGTTTTCGAAAAATTATCGAAGGAAACGACACCTCTTCCACAGTTTCTCTTCACTACGGAAGGATATGTCGCTACTCCAGAAACCCACCCGACTCTTGTATATGTTACCGGAGGTTCAAACCGCACGGAAGCACGATCTACGCAACTTTCATTTCTAGATTTCAATCATCCCTCGGCAACTGTGCAGCCTATCCCTGCTGAAATCGAAGAACAACGCTTACCAGACATTGATAACATATTCTCAAGCCTCATGTCGGGCCCAGTAAGTTGTATTCACAGTCAAAACTTCATTCGTTCTGTATTGCAGATGAAGCCGAAGAATGTTCTTCCATCAGTGATACCTGTTGCTTCTACTAACGTAAGATCAGAAGTTGAAAGTCATGTTAATTCAGAAAATCATCAACCTGGAATATCACCATCTGCATTCGTCTCAGCTATTAATCTGCCCACCAAATATAACTCGAAGCACGTATTCGAAGTTCCTCAGATAATTGAGAAGCCGTCAACGTTAAGTCCACCTGTACCTATCCAAGTTTCTGTGAACGGGCCGACTTACGCCAACAGCTGGTCATTTTCGAACAATATGCCTGGAATGCTTCCACCTCCAGAAGTTTCTCCCGAAAACTCTCATGTACCATCTACTCCTTCATCACATTTACCAGTAACATCGCCAGATGTACATGTACCCCAAGTTGTTCCTCTGCCCACACCTCCAGTAGTTATACCCAGAGCTGAAGTTATTTCACAGCCGGGAAGCCTCACATTCAGTTCGCAACCAACTCTTACTAACCTTGCCAACAAAAATGTTGTTCATCCTGCCCAAGTTGAAATACAACCATACAGCTCTCAAACAGTTCAGCAACTGCCAGGATCCAGCCCTATTGAGTCAGGAGTTCTACAACAATCGTTGCAGTCCATAATATCCCAGATGTCCTCATCTCAAATAAAACCAACTTTTGAATTGGATCCACATACACATGTGAGCTCTTCTAATATTCCACAGGAACATTTACCAGTTCTTCCACCTGTGCACTCTCAAAACGTATATCCGGCTCCTGTTAATCCCTCAGTCAGCTATGCAAATGTGCCGTCTATAACATCATCAGTTGTTGCTCCAGTATCTCCAATCAGTTATCAGTCTATCAATTCTCCAGTTCCCCAAATACTGCCGGAGTTTACTTTCAACAGTTCGCAATATATACCAACTTTGCAAACACTACCCTCTGGTGTTCCAAATGTTCCTGATGATAGAAAGAATGTTCTACCACAGATAATACTTATGGAGAAGGCTTCAGTATCTGCTTGGGCTAATTCAGGAAATGCTGCAATTCCTGGAAATAATGGGCAAACGCACCAGTCACAGACCGGCGGACAACCTATCGTTCAAATATCACAACCGTCTTTGAACATTTCTGAGCTTATCAGCCAAAGCCAAATTTACGGGATCCCTACTCCCTCCCCTAGTTCTACTCAAGAATTCGTTATGCCCCAAGGTGGCTATCCCAGTGCATTCAGCCTACCCACTGTTTTCAACCTGACGGTAAGGATGGTGTTTTGTGCTCTGTTATGATTCTATTTTAGTATGGTGTGTCGAGCAACCACAACTCACCTTGTCGTATTCCAATAACTGGAGATCCTGTTATTCTTTGTGAAAACCAACCTGGAGTTTGTCCTGGTGGAACATTTTGTCAGATCGGTGAAGGACAGAGCATGTGCTGTCCAGTTTTGGGTTAGTTGTACTCATTGATGCTAATATTCAGAAATTTCAGGCGATAACCCATGCTCTCAGTCTACTGATCCCGGTTTTGGCCAGTCTAAACTTCTTAGATGGTCTTATGATTTGACAACTTCATTATGCATACCGTTTGTATTCGGTGGTTTCCAGGTTTTCTCACTTTACTCTAATCGGGTTGTAATCATCGTTACACTTCAGGGAAATCAGAATAACTTCATGAAATACAATGAATGTGTGATGGCTTGTCACGCCAAATCGATATGTTCTTCCAATCTAGAACCGGTGCTACCAGCAAATGCTAACGAATCGTATGTTTCAAATACTTCTTGAATGTTACGATAAGTTCTCTATTCAGATGCTCAGCTCAGAATCCCTGCCCAGAGGGTTCAATGTGTCATTCTGATTCTAGTTATGGAGTTTGTTGTCCAACGGTCAACCATATGCCTGAACCCGATAAAAGTGACAGAAAAACTGGTGGAGGTACAATTTCTTTCTCATTCAATTCAGATCAATTTCTAACTTATCACATAGCACGGTTGCATTCCCCAATACAAATATTTCTCTTATTGAAATGTGAACACTATTTTTCTTCAGATCCTTGCAAACAGTCAATAGACGAAGGGTTTGGGCTAGAATCCCATCAACGATGGGCTTTCAGCGCAGCCAACAATACTTGTCTTCCTTTCATATTCAAAGGTAAAGCAGGAAACAACAACAATTTCATAACCAGGAGTGATTGCCAAGCTGTGTGCAAAGGTAAAGGTACTGATTCGTTCATCAGAAAACGAAACTTCCAGCACCCGATCGTATGCCAGCGAAGTGTTTACTGCCACCAAAAAGTGGAGAAGGTGTCCAATATCTTACCAAATACTTCTACTCACCGGTAACTCTCCTTCATGTTACAGTTCATCATATTTCCTTAAGGAATATCGTCAATGTTTGAGCTTTATATATTCCGGAGAAAATGGAAATGAAAATAACTTTGAAACGCAAATTGACTGCTTGGAAACGTGCATAGCTAACGGAGTGAAATTCAGCTGTAAGTCGGAACTGATGATAGATGAATCAAAATGATTTAGCTCTGGGAACTACGGCAACACCGTATAAGTATACATTCTCTAAAAAACCAATGTGTCCACAAGGAAATGTTCTGATGGATAAGAATAGTCAACCAGTCCGTTGTGAAGCCGCTCAAAATCTATATTGTCCTTCTGATTACATCTGTAGCAACTCAGGATCGGAATCGTTTTGTTGTCCAGCACCGGGTATGTTGCTAGTAGTTAAAAACATATTATTATGCAATTTCAGAATCATTCTGCTTGCAAAACAGACCTGCTCTCTCGGTTTGCTCCGGTGGTATCCCCGTTCGTGAAATACGTTTCACCTATGATCCAATGGCTGATAAATGTGTTCGTTTCACATACGAGAACTGCGTCGGATCCATTAGCTCACTGAATAGTTTCAATTCACAGCCTCAATGCATGAAACTATGCTGTCATCAGGTATTCCGTATCCTACTGTCTCAGTATCAAGATTCATATTCAGGGTTTCAATCTTGTTTACAAAAGGAAATTACTTAAGCGTATGATGAATGATGATCCTCTATAACGAAGTTGCCTGCCTTCAAACAATCAGAAGTAATGTTCTTAGTTCAACTAAGGTTTAAAGTATCGGAAATTCCGAAATGCTCTTGAATTATAACTTATTCTCTCATTTCTTGTTGTTCAATATGATTATGGGTACTATAGTATGCAATGAAATAAATTATTTGATTCCACAAACCCTTTGGACATCTGACAAACAGTTATGTTGTTGAATCATATTGAGAGACCCTTGGTCTATTACGTAGCCAAAACTTCATCTCTGAATTTGTTCAGAGGGAGATAGGTCCTTGCTGCTAAAAGATTAATTAATGATAAACGATGACTCAGTATAAAGTTTCTTGCGTACAGATAATACAAAAACAACAATGTTGGTAGATAAGAAGGAGTGAATATTGATCTTGAACCGATCGGTGATAGGGGAAATGCCCACATAGTTGCAACATAAAACCGAGAGGGTAGAAAAGCGGGAGACAGAGGGTCGCATAAGAAAGTGCTGAACATTTTTATTTCCACATAAAATCACCGCATTGTTAACGGCCAATTGCGTAGAGATTATCATGAAAATTATGATGAATTACAAGCAACAAGATCATTTGTATAATGTCCCTTTACTCTCCTGATGCTCGAAGTAGCTTTTCTTCGTAAGAATCCTTCTAAGTAAGCAGAAATGCAATATTGTAGCAGTTTCATCCATGGCCTGGAGAATCTCCAGAAACAAACAGAAAACAGAGGAGCTTACCGGCTAACACCACTAAATAACTCATTTCAGGTGTTTCATTACTTATATCAAGTGAAAAGCATTTTACGAGGAATAGAAACGACCCGGTCGTTCACTTCCGGGAAACAGGTTGGACTTCTGACGAAACTAATGAAAAGCCTTACTTTTAGGTTCGTCTCAGGTATATTGTGTTTCCTTTTGAGAAATTTCGAACCAGAACTTCATGAGAGATATCTGCAGTGGAAGAGAAGTAACGAGTCATGTTTTCCGTTTGTAACATGCTCATGATAAGGAGTCATCATGCTGCTAAGAATCGGATGAACTGATAGTTTCATCTGTTTAAAATGCCTTATTGTTGCTCTTAGAGGTGACGATTCTCTTCATTCTTCTATGAACTTTGTACCGATTATGATCCGTGCTTCCTAAGTTTTCTACAGATTCCGAAATGACGTTCAGACAAGCAACACAGGAAGATACTGATATAACTCTCTCCCATGTATTTTCCATTTCCTCAGAGACTGCAAATCAGTATTGCACCTGCAATACTGGAAATATCAAGTGGTTTGTTCACTTTTCCAATATTACTCAATCGGCGTTCAGGGATTTAAACTTTATTTCGAGTAATGGTTATGCTAAGATTTGGATTAGCAACCAACCGATTGGAGAGACAACATGTCGTATAGTTCCTTGGACTGTAACTTTCGATGTCAATGTAAATGTAAAAACGACCCAATGCATGTCATAACTTGCTTATTGAACCGTTGTTGATGTTCAGGTGAATCAAGACTCAAGAGTTCAACAGATTCAACCTTCTCTTCCTATAAACCTGTCATGGCTGGGATGAAGAATAATCCTCCTCTTCGAAGAATTTCAAAACATCAGAGTTATTATGATGTTGGTAAAATACTAAATGTTGTCTTGAGCGGCAATTCTTGTTACAAGAGCGAAAATTTTTCTGTTGAAAATGTTTCGTCGGTGAAATTGCTGATCACCAACATCAGGTTGAAAGGAATTCAGTTAGTTTGCTTGAGTACTTCCAATTATATTTATTGTCTTAGTAAATTTAAAATGAAAAACTTCGATAGTGCAGATGCAGACGAAGATTTGGTATTGGATGTCAACGGTAAGAAACTTCACTGCCACAGTCAGGTATGAGAGTTGGTGGAAGTCATTGATCTGTTATATCAGATTCTATCTTGGAACTCGAAGATCTTCAGAACTATGATCGAAGAGAGGTGAGAGCCAACTAGTTGACTGTTCCAACCTTTTCATTGCAGCAAAGTGTCTTCTGAAATCTGTTTGAAGAAAACGATTCCAGTCGAGGATCTTCGAGAGCTTCTTCATTACCTTTACTTACCTTGTGAGCCAGTAGATGGTATGATGTTCGCCGCAGTTCGAACTTAGTCTTCATGCTTTCAGATCATAACTTTAGAAAGTTGCTTC